TATTCTAATTATTCATTCTCATTCTATTAAAACAAAAGATTAATATATAATCATATATATTATACAAAAATAACTGTTACAATAATGTGGATAATCATTAAAAAAAAAATTATATTAATTACTTTGTACTTACTCATGTTGTTAGGCCCAGATGTAGTGGGAGGGTTGATTTCACATTGGAAAACAACAGAATCACCATAGGAAATGCTGCTGCGGTGTGTGTGTGTGTGTGTGTGTGTGTGACATGGTTTAGTGAAAAGTAAATGTTAGGGGATAATTTTAGCATGTAGGACAAAAATGTCACCACCAATACATATGGCTTTTCAAGGTCACACACTGACAGGCCTGGTTTGGCCATCTATATGTGTGTGTCTATCCATTTTTGGATTTGGGTCACATCTCCGTAAGTTTAAACCCTCGTTTACACCAGCATTATACTTAAAAATCTGCTGCTAGTCTTCTGCAGTACTGTATATTTCTGAGAACATTCACTAAGAAGCACATGTCTGTCTGATCCTTCATCCACTAGCTGACACGTTCAGCTTCTTACATTTGTACCCACGGGTCCGTTTGGAAACATGTCCTAATGATTTGGTTGGACGTCACCTCCATCACTTTCTTCGGTCCTTCCAGGTCCTGCAGTTCTGGCTCAGCTGTTTTTGGTTTATTCTTGGTGCAAAAGTTCTCCATGTTAATTATTTAGTAGCTTCTACCAGTGTCCATTCAAACACAGTTCGTGTAAATATAACTTGATGTTGGAAAACAGCTAGCTATACTGTATGTTGGTAGATGCATTCTTACCTATAAAGTTAATCATTTTAGATTGGCTCAGATCAATTTTTTGAAACACAATGGCAATCATTAAAATGTGTTTTATGATGTTTTCATTCAGTAACAATTTTATGACTTTAATTAGTTGATTATGGCTTTTATAGAGGAATATCAGATCTTCTTTTAATGAAGCACATAATATTCTTCCATAAAGCAGTAATAGAGTTGGGAATTAAATTATTTGACTAGATATCGATGAATATGGCACCTTCAGACAATAACAGACATTACGTCTCATCAACTAAACAATAATTTCCTCTGTGCAATTTTTTTTTATTTTTTTTTTAAAAGGCAAAGTTCTATTATTATTATTATATTATTAGTTGATGCAACATAAACTAAAGTTGCAACCTGACTTTTCCTTTAGTATTTGGCAGACCTCTTCACATTGCTTTATGGGTAACCAGTTAAACTCAGTTGTGCACTATAAATCAGATTGCATTATGGGTACACAACAGCGAACTATATATGGAATGAAATTGTTCACTAAGAATTTGGACAGCACTACAAAATGCTGACACCCTATATAGTGCACTGTAGAGTCTCTCTCCCTCTCTTGTGAAGTAAAGGAAATCCCAGGAGCCCTCATCAGCAGCCCATACACTGGTGGGCATCCATCAGCTGACAACAAATCTTTTTGAGAAATATTTCATTGTGACCGTGAAACTGTATTTTGCATTATTTTTATGCCAAAATATATTTTTGTCCCTATAACAACTGAATTATTTAGTTGTTTTTCCTTGTGTATGTATATGTAACATCATATTCATGATTAGCCTTGACCAAAAAAAAAAAAAAAAAAAAAAACTGTATATAGTATAGTTTTTCCTTAAAATTAGTTTTTTTTTTTTACAAAATAAAGAAATGAATAGCACTTTTTTCGTCCTCTCACTGTTTGAGAAAATATTTTTTTTATACTGTGCTTTTTAATATAAAGTCAAGTAAGGTTTCCTTTATGGTTATTTGATTGAACATGCTAAGATGTTTTAAATCTCACAGCGCTTTTGTACATTTTTCATGATTGCCATGCATAAAGCTTATACTTGACTGCATTTTTTATATCTCTCAAATGTTTTGCTTTTCTGTGTATCCACTGTAGCATGCATAGTTGCATTTTCATCCCACAAAAACTCCTGAATCCAAAGATTTTATGTGTATCCACTAAAAAGAAAAAATCCTTCCCATTGTAGTTTGAGATGAGTCCGACTGAGATGTTTGTGTGGAGAGTGCATCTCTCAGACATGTATGGAAAATGCGAGACGTTTGATCAGAGATACCTCTCAGTGAGCTTTGACTGTTAACTCGGTTAGCTCTGACCTCTATATCTCTACAGACAGACATAACACGGCTCTCAATGAGTCTCTTTTTTTTCCTCTTTCTGTATAATTAATGCCCGTGAAGCACAAGTCAATTTACATTAAAAACAGAAATGCACTGAAGATGTGATATGAACATGAGTCTAGTGCCCTCTGCCGTGTTTTCTGCCCTTAAGACATTGTGATATGCATCAGCGTTCTCTCATAGGGACGTGTGAGTAACAAGTCTGTGAGTATTTATTCAGTAAACAGTTAAAGTTCATAACACTTTAAATAGGGGAGAGTAACACTTTGTTTTCTTCTCATTTGTTTAGCCTAAAGCTTAGATGTTTTGCTCTATTATCTTTGACATGGGTCAGCAAGCTTAACTCATGTCATTTATGTAATTATGTGTGTGAGTTTAAATATAGGATAGGAGTATAGGAATAATTAAGATTTACTGATCTGAAAAAATAAAACGGTAAAAACATTGATATTGTGAGATAATAGTACAATTTAAAACAACTTCTATTTTAATATATGTCCTATTTTAATATAAATACTCCACCAATCAAATCCTGCATTTGTCCAGAGACACTGATCCTGGTGGAAGTCTAAAAAAATCCCAAATCTCCAGTAATCTTTTGAAAACTGAGTATTTCAACCCCACAGACAGCTCTGGTCATTTTCAAATCAATATGAATAAAACACTAATCTAAAACTGCTATTTAATGGGTTACCTGAAGAGCCACAAAGCATCGCTGTTGAGCATTTGTTTGTAAATAGTCATTTCATCTCATTCTCTGTATTTTGTTTAGTGTGAAAAGGAGCCAAAATGTGCTTGTGTTCATATTATTCTGGATGCGGATTATTCTCAAGAGAGATAATAGGTTTATCGGTTTCTCAGGCACATTCTTGACCCAAAGTTCAGGTCTGACGGCATCCAGCCAGCAGAAGAAATCAGTCAGTGATTGTGCCTGTCAGGAGGAGAGAGAGATAGAAAACAGCAGGGAATGGATGGAGCAGAGACTGACAGGATAGGGCTGGTGTGAGACTCCCTCACATCCAATGGATCCCCGAATTATTTGGTGTTGAAAGGCCCAGACAGAACGTCAGGAGACAGGGAGAGCGCAGTGTCAGGTTGCTGAGCAGATAGAGAGGTGAAACAGACAGTGAAAACATCTCCGTGTGTTAATTACGTCTCCTATCACCCTGGCGTCTGAGAGCTGAGATGGACCTTCAGGGTCAGTGCCGCCACTCGCTGAGCAACAGATGGGCCATTTGTACAAAATGGGTGCTTATTGGGTCCCAGTTGAATTTTTATATTACAGCATCCTGACGGGTTCATTTTTTATGCATAAATGGCCCAAATTACTAATAAAAAAAGATATATACACACAATTCAAAAGCTTGGGGTGAGTAAGATTTTTTACAATGTTTTTGAAAGTAGTTTCTTCTTCTCAACAACGATGCATTTATTTGATAAAAAGCACAGTAAAACAGTAATATTGTGAAATATTATTATCATGATTAATATTATTATTATTATTTAAAATATCTTTTAAAATGATGACAGAACTGAATTTTCAGCAGCTATTTCATAAATCATTCTAATACGCTAATTATCAATGTTGAAAACAGTTGTGCTGCTTAATTTTTATTTATTTTTTCCGGAAACTATGATACAATTTTTTCAGTTTTCTTTAATGAATAAAAAGTTCAAAAGAACAGCATTTATTTGATTTTTTTTTGTGACCTTGCAACATTTTTTATTGTAACTTATAATCAATCAGTTTAATGCATCTGTACTGAATAAATATTAATTAATTAATTAATTTAAAAAAATAAAATAAAACAATCTTACTGACCACAAACGTTTAAACAGTAGTATAAATGTCAATATTTTTTATTACATATATTTGTATATATACAGTAACATAACTTGTATATTATAGCGTCTTGACTGGATTATTTCCGGATTTTTTATTTTTTTTTTGCATGAATTATTAATTTAAAATATTTTTAAAGATTTTATAGAATATTGAAATTATGTTTAAGATCTTATGGAATATTGGAATTATTTTAAGAATTATATTTTCCAACAGACTTAAAAAAACAACAACTGAGAACTCAAATTAAGTGAACTCATCTCACACAATACAGTTACTTAATACCTAAACACACTTTTCTGTTCGAATGTTTAAATGTACTTTTTAAAAATTACCTTTTTAAAATGTAAAAGGCACTAGTTTGATGACTCCTCCTCCTCTCCTTCAGCAATATTAAATATTAATCTCCTCCAGTCTATATATTCTCAATCGATACGCTGTGTTAACACCAAGACTGCTTTCCCATCTCGGCTCAGGCTCTGGTGATTAATATGGCAGTTAGTGGCATCATCTCTTACAATTACTGGTCAATGTGTCATTACTTTCTCATCAAGATTGTGGTGTGATGACCCCGGCACCTGCCACAGATGGCAGAACAGTGTAAATGATCATGTCGAAGCAACTTAATGGATTAGTAAATCTACAAGGAATTGGCAATCACCAGTGATAAATAAAATAGCTAATAGACCACATTTTGGGATGCAAGACGGGTATGTACAAACAGTCATGTGAATTATATAACAGCGGAGATGCTGGTTTAATAAAAAAGTAGGCGTTTTTTTGGATGAATAAGTAGTGAGATTGTTCAGTGTTGGATTTGTGTGCATATTCAACAGACTGTTGTTTGTAGTAACTGCTAAAAGTGTGGAGAGTGTTGAGCAGCAAACAGCCATATGGAGATGTTTGCATAAGTGTTAAAGTGGGAGTACATATGCTAGTCTATGGCTCCAATTCAAAGCTGAATCCTTCTCCTTCCTCTCCACAGGTTTTCCCAATGAGCCGGCAGCAGAAATCGCCCTGAAGACCGTGTGTGACTGGATCCTAAGCAACCAAGATAAGGTAGGAGCCGCTGCTGGTGGTAAACCCTTCTTAGTTCACAGGTCCTCGCGCTTCAAGTTAGAGGAGAACACCTGGTTTGAAGGGCAGATTTTTTTTTTACAATAGGAAATGCTTGTGAAGAAAAGGAAGTGTTGGAGCCGGAATCCACAGTCCATTTCCCTGATGGAAAATCAATTAAAGCTTACAGCTCTTCCAGGAGGAAAATGTGAAGTGGCAACTGCTCTCTTCATTGGTCATGTTTGTCTCTCTTTGTCTGTTTGTACTTCTCTTATGTCACGTCCAGCTGTTTAGCCACTGCTAAAGACGTCTGGTTATGCTAGGATGCACAACTTTGAGGTTTGAGCACTTTTAACAAAGCATTAATGACCTGCCTGTCCTTATATCTGAGAAACCAGGTCTAAACAAATGAAGGTAACACATTCCTTGTGAAAACCCAAACCAAGCTGCCTTGATCATCTGTGCAGCTAGTTACCGTCACACGCTTTGAATTTAAAAGCATTTCAGCTCGAGGAAAGTCCTTACATGGTCTGTTGGCTTTTTAAATGGGTTTGTGCTGCCTATTCGGTGCAGGAAAGTAGGGAGGAAGTGTAAATAAAATAAGCAAAATTAATTTGTAAATCAATTAAGTGATTACAGTGCTGTTGAAAGACTGAACGCATGAATGTGTAGTGATGTTGACAGGTAGATGTGCTAATTAAGTGTTTGACTTGACAGGTTTGTTGGTGATTATTTACGTCATTGTCTGTTCATTATGATTGCTTCAGTGTGTTTAGACCAAACTGACTGTACAAAGCATATTACATGGTTTGTTTTGTCAATCATAGAAGTGGATAAATGAAATCCCTCTTAACTTCACATTAACTGAAGTACAGCTGCTGACCTCCCAGTTAATCATCCTGCTGTTAGAATGAACAAGATCAATAAGCAATCATAAACTGTAATGTTGTGCTTGCTCTTGAGTTATTTGACTTTGATGATGACAAGTGAGTGGTACTATGGCAGAGTTTTTCAAAAGGGGGTCTGTGGACCCCTAGTAGAACATGAAATAATTGCAAGGGATGCAGTTATTTTTTTAAAAGGTATGAAATAACAGATAAGTTTTTAATAAAAAGGTTCACAGCTGCCAAAGCTGTCTGACTGTGACGTGTACATACTGTATTGCTAATTTTATGTAAACATTGAATTATTTTTCTATTACAACATATGAAATATCAATGCGGAATGATGAACTTTAATATGAGTAATCGACTAAAGCTTTCCTCTCTAAATCTCAGACTTTCAGTTATGTAATGCTGACACTGACTTTGTTTATATACTGCCGTAATCCATCTGCTGGCCCCATTAAGACACTGCAGTTAGGAATTTGCCTTGTGAGCAGTATTTTCCTATTATCTTAATCCAAGTAAGCTCATATTTTGCAATAAACAGAATTAAATTAAGACTTCAGACTGCTTGTGAAGTACGTGTAGCAGCTGCAATATTAACGTTTTTCAAATGGAAGAAAAAGAAGCCAGAGCTCATCATGCTCAAGATTTTCATGCTCAGGAAATCCTGGGTTTCCTGTGAGTGAACTCAGACGTAGAATGGACAACATTAATATGCAACTTTATTCATTACTCAGGATGTACTCTGTACAAGAGGAATATAAATGGAGTAGGTCTACAAACAACCTGTAGTCACACACTCATTTAGAACAGCATACAAACAAATAAAACTTTGTGGGTGCCACTCACATTCCTCCAGATTTCTCAGAATAGATTGCATAACAGATTTCTGGACCACCTTTATTGAGTGGCCTTTACCTGCGGGAGCAGAGAGCAGTTTAATTTATTGTGATTGTTAGGCCAAAGCAAAGCCTGCAGGTTGATTGTGAACTGAAGGGAAGTGAGGATTAATTACAGAGTATTTAGCCAGAGAGAACAAAACACAGCAAGAGCCGTAAGAGGGATTTATTGTTCTCTTCTAATGGTGTGTCTTCACCCCAAGTGTTACCTGATCTTTTTACTGACGTCTAACATTGCTTCTGGCTTCTATTTTTTATTTATTTATTGAGTAAAGAAAAGAAGTAAAGGCTAAGTATTGCAATTTGAATGAATTGCACCTGCTGATATTGCTTATCCCACATATTTTTAACTTTTTTTTTTTAATTAAACTAATCAAGTAGCAGCTTATGCACCCAAATAATTTGTGCTGTATCTAGATTGTAAAGAGAAATTGTCCATATACTTTTTCAGATATGCATCTGATATCCAGTTTATTTAGGCACTTTATCTAGCCCATTGAATCAGACGATCTGACACCTAAAGATGCTTTACAATGAACTTCAGAAGCTCTTTATTTGATGTTCCCTGCTGATTGTTGCAGATGTTATCACAGTAATATTATTTCTGTTGAAGGGATAGTTCATCCAAAAATTTAAATTCTATTATCATTTATTCACCCTCATGCCTTTCCAAACCTCTATGATTTTCCTTCTTCTGTGAAAGACAAATGAAAATATTTTGACGAATGTTGGTATTCTATTCCTTTAAGCTCACTAGAGTAATGCAATGAAAGTCCAAAAGTGATGCAGGTCATCCTAAAACATTGGGAGTTTGTAGCCTTTGCTTTGTTTTGCTATATACTATGTATATATGTGACCCTGGACCACAAAACCAGTCTTAAGTCGCTGGGGTATATTTGTAGCAATAGCCAAAAATACATTGTATGGGTCAAAATTGTTGATTTTTCTTTTATGCCAAAAATCATTAGGGTATTAAGTAAAGATCATGTTCCATGAAGATATTTTGTAAATGTCCTACCTTATATATATCAAAACTTCATTTCTGATTAGTAATATGCATTGCTAAGGACTTTATCTGGACAACTTTAAAGGCGATTTTCTCAATATTTTGATTTTTTTGCACCCTCAGATTCCAGATTTTCAAATAGTTGTATCTCGGCCAAATATTGTCCTATCCTAACAAACCATACATCAATGGAAAGCTTTCAGATGATGCATAAATCTCAACTCCTATGACTGGTTTTGTGGTCCAGGGTCACATATGTTATGTTATCTCATACTCATGGGAGTCCCCTAAACTTCAACTTCCAGAGAGATCATTTCATACATAATATGGATGTCTGCACTGAGATCTTTGACAAAATATTTAAAAATTCATCTCTGTCCTCTCCAGTCAGTGCAAGAGTCAGGAAAAGCGAGATGAGTTGGATAAAGTGCCTGACCTGCAAACCTCCAGTAGTCCAGGAGCCAAGCAGGGAAAAACTGAGAGAACATGAGCATTTGACATGAACATGTGACTAGGTCCACAGACTTTTCTATTCTATTCTTCTATTCTATCTAAAAAATTCTATTATATTCTCTACATTCCTTTTTTTTTCAGTGGAATCCCAGAGTACACAGTTGAAACCCCATACATGAAGGATAATGTGCTGTGCTGATATCATCTCTATCCATAACACTGAGAATGCCATTATGGGCTTGGCATGCGAGAGGTGCATTAGTTCATCGAGAGCATCCCGGGACATAAGTGCATGTATGCACTACACTGTTAACTTCACAATAAGGTGCATTAGGCCTGGCTTGTAAATTAGAGCCCAGGCTCTTAGCCACCTTAAGATGCCTCCACTTCTATGTGTAATATATCATGGTACAGCCGTGCCGCAGCACCTCACGCTCCGACAATTGTGATTGATGACTGAAGGTTAACCTTCGCGGGCCAGGGTGTATGTTCACTATACCGCATTGGGGAAGAGTAATGGAGATGGGGTTTTCTGATGGAAGCTGGGCTGCAGTGAAAAGGGGGTTGGGTTCTTCCCACAGAATACAGTAAAAGACAGACATTTCAGACATTTTAGAATGCTTTATTATTATTATATTTTTTATTCAAGACTTTCAGATGTCTTTGTGTGCTATTTCTTGAAGACATTATTATTATTATCATGCTTTTAAATTAATACTTTTTTCAACAAACAAGCATTAAATTGAAATTCAAAAGTGACAGTAAACCCTTAACACTGTTTCCAACTGTGATGATAAAAGTTCTGCTTTGCCATCACAGGAATAAATTGCATTTTAAAAATATTAAAAAAGAAAAAAGTTATTGTATTATTTTAGAATATTGTTTTAAATTCTAATCATATTTTAAAAATATGACTGTTTTACGGTATTTAAAATAAATGAATAAATAACTTGAGACTTCTTTCAAGAACTTTCAGAACTCAAACTTTTGAAATGCATTTCTTTCTTTCTTTCTTTTTGCTGGTTTGCTTTTTTCAGCCTATATAGATTCAAAGTATTTAATGTAATATGTAGAGTCTATTGAAACATCTCTTTTACAACACTCTCAAATAAGAATGATGGATTGCTGTAGATTTGACATAGTGATTCAACTTTGCAGGAACTATTTTCCCTCTTCTTAAAGGTAACTTCTTGAAAATCCTACCCACACAAAATGGTGTTACAAACACAAACAGGACCATAAAAATACATAGAAGCACCTCATCCCTCCAGGTTTTGGGGTCACGCTCGGTCTGGAGGTTCTTCTTTTAATATGAGATAGATTAGCTTTGTGTATATCCCCTGGTCCAGCTCAACATGGCCCTGTTAGGTTTACAGAGCTTCACAGAAGACATTTTTGCCCTGTGTGAAATCATTCTGAAAAACCAAGCAGTGGGTGTTTTTTTTTTTCTATTGTGTTAAACTTTAGCAAAAGCGGACAAGCACATCGTCCACAGCACTGCATGTTCCAGCTCTGTCATGATCTCCCACATCTGAGGGCATCAAAGAAGGAAGTCATGCTTTCATCTGCTCTTATAAGTCCAGACAACACAGCACCCTCTCTCTCTCGGATGTATTTCTCATCAGTCTGATTTCTATATGACAGACTGTGGCAGCCATAGACATTCATTGAGCCCCCTGCCCCAACCAACATGATGAATCAATTACAGAGGCGGCCCTGTTTTCAGAGGTTTAATAAACTCTATTGCTCTATTTCACT